CTCAACACAGTGACAGCATTCAGTACCATATGGCCCAATCATTTGTTCATAAGTCTTAACATACCCAGGCAATACACTTTTCGGAATGGAAAACAGAGGGAGTTGTACTTAGCTCTTCAAAGACAATATGCCATCTATTAGGAAAGACAAAATAAACAACAATTTGCAGTACGAATTCACCATATAATTTATCTGTTGATAATGATAAAATTAAGCACAGGATATTATTGGAAAATAGGAAAGAGATATTTGACTTAGATTTAGAGAGGCACTCATCAAGAAGACTTCCCAACGGAATGACACCTGCATGAGTTCTGTAAGATGAGTTGCCTTTGTCACACCAAGGGAGATGGAGGTTTGGGATGGGAGAATGTGTTAGATTCCAGCTACATTATTCAGAGGCCCAGAGACAATCGAGCATGCAACATTAGAGGAAATAGGAGTTCAGTGTAGCTGGTGTTGAGAGTGGGAATGAAGGAGGAGTGCCAAGAGATGAATTTATAAAAGTATGCAAGCACTAGATTATGGAGAACCTTATGCACTATGATAAGTAATATTGACCTTATTGTGAATGCACTGAGGGCCCATTAATTTGGCGGGGGGAGGGGGGCGCGGGGGGACCAGATTTGTATCAGCATTATGGAAATAACTAGTATAATTGTGATAAGGACCTGTGCTAATGTATACAGGCAACAGGGATGGAGAAAATGAACAAATTTGAGATATTTTGAAGAGATAGACTCAACAAGGACTACTGATCAACATAAGTAGTATATGTGGTGGAAAGAGAGTAGCCTTTGTAGTTAGCTAGCACTGGGTTCAAATCCCAGTTCTGTCACATAGTGTTTTGTGACCTTGTGTACCTCTCAGAACCTCAGTATTCTCAACTTAAAATTTAGACATCAGTACTCAACCCATAGGGATGTGGGGTGATAATAAAATAATGTATGTGAGACATCCAGTAAAGTAAGTATAAAGTGATAGCTACTGTTGTTGTGGGGGATGAAAGAGATGGAGGGGAGTCAAGAATAACTTCCAAGTTTTCTGTTCAAACAGTGAGAAAGAGCTAGTTTAGGAAAGTGAGATAACCTGTCTGATTTCTAGACAGATTGCTGTGAGAAATCTGGGTGGAAATGTTCCCTGACAGACAACAATAAGAGTATGACACTCATGAGAGGTATTTGAGCAGAAGATACAGATTTGGGAGAGAGCAGTTTATATACACATAATAGTAAAAGTCATGAAAGTGAATGCAATAACCTAAGGAGAGAGTTGGAATAAGAAGTCAGAACAGTGAAGAGTAGCCTAGGAAGGACATCAGTGTAGCTGTGGTTAGAGAAGTAGCAGGAACACCAGTGGTGAGTAGTATCAGAGAAACACAAAGGGGGGAACATTGCATGAAGAGAGTGAGATTAGCAGCTCCAGTTGCTCCAGAGAAAAATAAAGTGGAAGAGTACCTTTGGATTTACCAACGAAGAAATATTTAGTTCTGACATGATTTTAGCAGAGTGATTTGGACACCTCATTTCACTAGTTTGAAGAGAGAATGGGAAATGAGCAGTAAAAGCAACCTGTGTAGATAATCTTTTAAGACTGTGACGTAAGCTTAGATTTAAATGCTGATAAGAAGAGCTAATATAGAAGAAGGGGTTTCTGAGAATGTAGGGAGTTAGAGTCAGTGGTGTCAAATGCAGCAGAGCAATCCTGTAATGCTTATTGACAAAATGAACCTTGGATTTGGTCATTAGGAGGAAGTCTGTGAACCAGGGACAAAGTTCTTGTGGTAGAATCATTTGAGTACCAGATTTTGGTCATTGGCGAATGGTTGAGAGTTATTGAGCAGGGAAGTGATATGATCAGAACAGCGGTTAACATTTTTTTCTGGCAGCAGTTTGAAGAATGAGATAAGTGGCATGTGTCCCATTTAGGCTGGTAGAGGCACAGAGTAACAAGGACCAGGGTGATAGTTTTGACAACAGAAAGATAAGATGAACCCAAGAATTATAATGCTATTACGTATCTTTTAACTTGGCTCTCCTATAAATTAATGGGTAAAGAAGTAGCCTAAAAGTTGACTTTTTAAGATTTTGAGTGTAGGTAGGTAATCAGGAGAGTAGTAGCAGCAGTTACTAGAACAGAAACATTAGTAGAAGCAAGATTTAAAGATGAATTCATTTTTAAGCTTTCCTTTATTAAGCTACTGTACGTTGGGCACTGTTCCAAGTGTTGGAGATATAGCAGTGAATGTAACAGGCAAGGTCCCTGTTCTCATGCACTCAACATTGAGAAGTTGAGGCGAAGACAGAAAAAATAAGAAAAGGACAAGATAACTTAAGGCAAGTAAGATAAAACTTGGTGATGGTATAGAAACGGATTAGTGGGGCCATTTTAAGCGATGTGGTCAGAAATGGCATTTCTAAAGAGGAGAGGTTTGAACTGAGAACACCAGAATATTACTAAGGAGTCAGCTCTGCAGAGATCTGGATGCAAAGGCATCCCCACCCAGACCAAACAGTATGTGCAGAGTCCCTAAGAAGGGAATGAGCTTAATTTGTTTGAGGGCCAGAATAAAAGTCCAGTGTGTCAGGAGCATAGTAAACAAGTGATAGGCTAATCCATGATGAGGGGTTGGTAAAGTTAGACTTGAACAGGGCCTTGAAGACCTTCCTTGGTAAGGAGTTTAGTGACTTGTACGTGATTAGTAACAGCAGAAATGAAAGAAAAGTAATATTGAAATATGTTGAACCTGAACTGTCTAGAATATCTAGGTAAAGAAGTCAAGAGTATTGTCAGGCTTAAATATATAAATTCAAATATGAATTGCTTAGTAGTATTCATTGAAACAACCTCCCAAGTTGTTTAGGCATTGAATAACAAATGTTCACAATATGGAGGCTCGAGAAAATGGTCAGGGGATTTGAGGGGAATGATTAGCCAGGGATCTCTAGCAGCTTTTTGACATAAAGGGTATCTTAAATATCATTGCAACCTGAAAGGAATGACCAACTGTTAAATGAACAGTAGCTGGAAAAATTATGGCCAGAAATATCTCATGACTTCAGAGGAGGTAAAGAATACTTGCCAGCTTAAAATACCTGTGTCTTTATAGGGACCAAGTCATAAAGACTATAAAAACAAAACAAAACACTATATAGTACTAGTTCAGATAGAACTCCCATTTCTAACAGTACATTCTTTTTGCAGTAAATAGAATATGTGTATCACTGCGCTTCTAAATATACAAGTAATTTGAATAGTTTGCTTAGTCAAGGTCATCCTTTTGGAATCTGGTTTTATTGGATATGTAAAACATTTATGTCCTCAAAAGATAAAATGAGGCATAATAATTTTACTTTACATTTATGTGTTGCTTTGCAACTCACAGTCTTTACTCACTAGGAAATCGACTTGATCTTTATGAACAACTCTTTAGAGTAGATAGGAGACAGGAATTTTAGGGAGGTCAGCAGTAATTAGAGGTGAGGAAACTGAGGATTTCCGAGTACGGTTACTGAAGGGGACAGGAATTCACAACTTATGACTTACCACGTGTTGCTTTACCTATCGCACCTTGTTAAATTCAAAGGTGAACAAAAATTTAACTGTAGTAGAAGAACTAATATATATATAGATATATGTATATCTATCTATCTATCTATATATCCTTACTAAAACAGTGACAAAAATACATATTTTTTATTTGTATTTTAGTTATTGGTGCCACCAAAGGTTTCAGAGTGCTGTGAGCACATAGGAAGGTGAGACTGATTTTGGCTGGCAGAATCAGAGGTTTAATTTTGTTTGGAAAATATGTGCTGTTTTTTTACTTGCTATTTTTTATTATCTTTTCTTGGTTGCTGTACACATTTAAAGTACTACATGTGCAGCTTTAAAATAAGCCCTTTTAGTACTCACATGTAGTACTCACATGTTTATTTCTGCTACCATATTTTGTTCTTATATTGCCACCCAACTCAGTTGAGACTAATAATAATAATAATAGCTAGCATGTAATGTACAATTCTGTGCCAAGCACTGTGTTCAAGGGTTTGTAAAAATTAATTTGATCTGTATATCAACTCTGTGAGGTGGGAGCATTCCTTCATAAATAGGTGGTGTTTTCTTTTCTGTCCATTTTATGTACTTTGTATTCCCACACCTGAAAGTAGAACTGTGGTGAAAGAACGGATAAGTATAAGCCATACTCATGTGCCCTTCGGGATCAGCTTAAGCCATGTAAACAGCTTTTTGGGGTAATATTTTGTATTATTTATCATATTTTTCTGTAGGTGAAGCCAAGTTGGTATATGTGCTAACCTGGGAGATGAAGTCTAAACTATATATAACATAAGTGAACAAAGTAACAATATCCTAAATGTCTGTTTTATGATTCTAGTATCAGTATGTAATAATTATGGGTGATTTTGCATTTTAACAAACTCAATGCGTGTAATAAAAAAGGCTCATCAATAAAGAAATGTTTGCTTAATTTGAAGTATTTAGGAATGAGAAATGTCCAAAACTTAATCCTTTTAGTTTACTTTTCATTCATTTTCTTGGAGTGAATGAGATATGTTGCTTACTGTGGAAATGGTAATAATAATGCTTTGTATTTATATAGCATCTTTCATCTGAGGATCTCAAAGTACTTTTCAAATAATGTCTCATGAATCCTCACAGCACTTCAGTGAGGTAGGTAGGTGGCAAGTATTATTATCCTCATTTTACAGATGGAGAAGTTAAGCCACAAGAGGGTTAAATGATTTATGTATATAGTCCCACCAACCAGATAGAGAGGCAGCCTAAGCTACTAAAGTAAAAAATACTAGATTGTGGAGGATTGGCATAGTGTAAATCATTAACCCCTTTGCTTTTGTACTTTACACAGATTATGTATTAGAACAAATACAATAGCTTTAAAATGTCCACATGGAATTTTTTTTTAGCCTTTCTTGAGGAATAGAAAACATTATAATACTCTTTTTCCCTCCCATTTTTAGGTCAGCAGCAAGGACAAGATGGCGTAAAAGTCCAACAAGCTACGATAGCCCCTGTTACCGTAGCAGTTGGAGGAATTGCTAATGCAACGATAGGTGCTGTTAGTCCTGACCAACTCACACAAGTGCATTTGCAGCAAGGCCAGCAAGCTTCTGATCAAGAGGTACAGCCTGGCAAGAGGCTTCGAAGAGTTGCCTGTTCCTGTCCTAATTGTAGGGAAGGAGAAGGAAGGTAAATGCTGTGTCTTTCTGGAGGGCAGAAAATAGTTAAAACCAAGCCATTGGCTGGGTACTTTGATCATTAGAACATCATTAGCTTTGTAGTCCAGAAGTCAAGATTTAATATTGTTCTGAAGGAGGTTAAGTTGAGCTATTCAGGAATGGGATTTCAGCGGTCCTCTTCCTTGAACCTTATACTTTTTTTTTTTATGGTTTACTTTCTTCATTTATTTTTCTTCTCTTGACTTTCTTCAATTATGTAAAATTTTAAAGAACTTTATTGACATAAAACATTCCTTATAATTCACTCACTTAAAGTATACATTTCAGTAGTTTTTAATATATTCACAGAATTGTGCATTCATCACCACAGTTAATTTTAGCACATTTTTGTCACCCCTAAAAGAAACTATGTATTCTTTAGCTATCATCCCCTTATTCCCCAACCCTCCCAGCTCTTGACAACCACTAAACCTTTTCTGTTTTTATAGATTTGCCTATTCCAAACATTCATGTAAATGGAATCACATAATATGTGGTCTTTTGTGACTGGTTTCATTCATTCATTTGACATGTTTTCAAATGGTTATCCATATGCTAGCATGTCTTAGCATTTCATTCTTTTTAATGAACAAGTACTATTCCAGTGTATGGATATACAATATTTTACTTATCCGTTCATCAGTGGATGGACATTTGGCATTTTCCACCTGTTGGCTATTATGGTGCTATGAACATTCGTATACAAATTTTTATATGGACATATGTTTTCATTTCTCTTAGGTATATACCTAGGAATGGAATACTGGTAACTCTAGGTCAAACCATTTGAGGAACTGCCAGACTGCTTTCCAAAGTGGGTGTATCATTTTACATTCCATGAGCAGTGTATAAGGGTTCTGATTGCTCCACATAATTGTCAATACTTGTTATAATCTGACTCTTTTTAATAGCTGTCCTAGTGGGTGCGAAGTGGTATCTCAATGTGGTTTTGATTTGTATTTCCCTGATAACTAATGATGTATATTTTCATGTGCTTAGTAGCAATTTGTTTATCTTCTTTGAAGAAATGTCTGTTGAGATCTTTTGCCCATTTTTAGTTAAACTATTTATCTTTTTATTATTGAATTGGTTCTTTGTATATTCCAGATACGAGTGCCTTAGCACATCAGATACATGATTGCAAATATTTTCTCTCAGTCTGTGTTGTCTTTTCATTTTCTCGATAGTGTCCTTTGAAACACAAATTTTTTGTTTTAATGAAGTCCGTCTTGTCTTTGATTGATTCCACTTTTGGTGCCATATCTTAAGAATCTATTGCCAAATCTGAGGTCACAAAGATTCCTAGCTTTTTTGTGGGAGTTTTTTATAGCATTTGTTCTTATAGTTAGGTCTTTGATTAATTTGAGGTTAAATTTTTTTATATGATATGAGGTAAGGTTTTATTCAACACCATTTGTTGAAAAGACTAACGCTTCCCCATGTATTGAATGGTCACAGCATCCTTGTCAAAAATCAGTTGACCGTGATGCATTTATTTCTGGACTCTTCAGTTGTATTCCATTGTTCTATATATCTGTCTCTATGTCAGTACTACATGGTCTTGATTACTTTGGCTTGGTAATAACTTTTGAAATTGGGAGGTATAAGTCCTCTGATATTGTTTTGACTCTATAGGGACATTTGCAATGAGTGAATTTTTAGAATCAGCTTGTCAGTTTCTACAAAGAAGGCAGATGAGATTCTGATGGGGTGGCATTGGGTCTTTAGATCAACTTAGTAAATATTGCCAACTTAACAATGTTAAGTTTTCTGATCCTTATATGTGGTATGTATTTTTCTGTTTATTTAGATCTTCTCTAATTTCTTCCAATACTGTTTTATAGTTTTCAGAGTGTATGTTTTGCACTTTTTAAATTAAATTTATTTCTGAATATTTTATTCTTTTTGATGCTATTGTAAATGAAACTGTTTTCTTGATGGTTCATTGCAAATGTTTAGAAATATAATTAATTTGTGCATATTAATCGCGTATCCTGCAGTCTTGCTGAACTCTTGTTAGTTTGCTTAGTTTTTCTGTAAGATTATGTCATCTACAAATAGAGATAGTTTTATTTCAGTTTTTTCACTCTCAATGATTTTTCTTTTTCTTACCCTAATTGTTTTGTCCAGAAGCTACAGTACATGTTGAATAGAAGTGAAAGTGGGTGGCATTTTTTTGTTCATCTTAGAGGAAAAGCATATACTCTTTTACCATTAAGTATGATTTTGTCTCTCGGTTTTTTAAATATGCCTTTTATTGAGAAAGCACCCTCTATTCCTACTATGTTGAATGTTTTTATCTTGAAAAGGTGTTGGATTGTGTCCAGTGTTTTTCTGTATCTGTTGAGATGATCATGTAGTTTTTGGTTCTTATTCTAGCAGTAAGGGTATATTATATTACATCGATTGATTGTCAGATGTTAACGTACTTTTACATTCATGGGATTAAATCCAACTTGGTCATGGTTTATAATTTTTTTCCCTTTTTAAAAAATTTTATTTTATTATTAGTTTCAAGTATATAGTACATTGGTTAGACATTTATGTAGTTTATGAAACGATCCCCCTAATGGCTCTTTCGCTCCTCTGGCTCTCCATCTAGCCATCACATTAATGCTAACTGCATTCCCTATGCCATGTTCCCCATCCTTGTGTCCATCTGTTAACTAATTTGTCCTTCTTTAACCCTTCATCCCATTCTCCCAGCTCCCCATTATAATTATTTTTACTTGTTGCTGGATTTTGTTTGCCAGTATTTTTTTTTGAGGGTTTTTGTGTCTATGTTCATGAGAGTTTTATAATGAATGTCTTTGCTTTTAGTATGGGTAATACTGGCCTCATAGAATGAGTTGGGAAGTGTTCTCCAGTTTTATTTTTTAAAAGAGTTTGTTGAAAAAAAAAAAGTATTAATTTAAAAATGTTTTATGGACTCGACTAGTGTAGCTATTTTTTCCTGGGCTTTCCTTTTGGGTGTTTTTTTGACTACTAATCCAATCTCCTGTTACGGTTTTTTTCTGATTATTTGTTTGTGAGTCAGTTTCGGTACTTTGTGTCTTTCTAGTAATTTGTCCATCCTATCTGTGTTATTTAATTTAACTAATTGGCATACAGTTGTTCTTGTTTATGAAAATATCACCGACTTCAGCTATTATTGTTGAATTGTCTATTCCTTCATTTGTTAGTTTTTACTTCATATGTTTTGGTGCTCTTTTGTCACTCTCTTGCTTAAGTGCATGTATGTTTATAGTTGTTATATCTTTCTGATGAATTCACCAATCTGTCCTTATCAAATCTCCCTCTTTATCTCTAATAACGTCTTTTGTCTGATGTTAGTGCAGCCACACCAGCTTTCTTGTGGTTGTTATTGGCATCTTTTTTCATTTTACTTTCGATCTCTTTGTATCTTTCAAATAAAGTATGTCACCTGCAGACAGCATGTAGTTGGCTCTTGTTCTTTTTAAAATTCCAATCTGAAAAAATCTGCCTTTTGATTGGATTGTATAATCCATTTACATTTATGTTACTGATGTAGTTGAATTTATTTGCTATTTTTTGTTTTCTGTATCGCATGCCTTTTTTTGTTCCTCTGTGCCTCCTTTACTTTCTTTTGCATTAAGCGAATATAATATAGCATCTTAACTTATAATTTAGCATTTTAATTTCATTAATGATTTTTTCACTGTATTATTTTGAGTTATTTCCTTAGTGGTTGCTCTAGGCCTTAATATATATTTCGTAACTTAGGATCGGTTTAAGATTTATAGTAACTTAATTCCAGTGAGTTATTGAAAAGTTACTCCTATTGAGGTCTATTCGCTTTTACTTCTTTTGTGGTATTATTGTTATTATAGATATCTATTAGTGTTACAAACCCAACAATAATTATAGTGATTGTTTTATATAATTTTACTTTTAAAGAAGTGAAGAGAAGGCCAGCAAGTATATATAGCTTTTCCTGTGTTAACTGCCTCATTTCTAGTTCTCTTTATTTGTTCCTGTGGATTTGAGATCCCATCTGGAGTCATTTCTTTAGTCCAATACAGCTTTGCTCCCATTTTTGTGCTATTATTGGCAAATATGTTACATATATTGCATTTCTCTAATGTTATGGGCTTGAAAGTACATTTTATACATACTGTTTTATAAAATTGCTTTTTAAAACCAGTTAAAAGAAGAAATATGCACTTAAACTGATCTTTATAATTACATAATTACGATTGCTGGTGCCCTTTTGTTTCTTTGTGTGCTTTTGGGTTCATTTGCTTTCAGCCTGAAGAACTTGCTTTAGTGTTCCTTTCAAAGCAGGTCTGCTAGCAACAAATTATGTCCGTTTTTGTTCATCTGGGAATATCTTTATTTCATCTTCATTTTTGAAAGATAGCTTTGCTGGATATAAGATTCTTAGTTGAGATTTTTTGTTTGAATAAATTTTCCCACTGCCTTCTAAACATCATTGTTTGTGCTGAGAAGACAGCTTTTAATCTCTGTGGGGTTCCCTTGTAAGTGACGACATTTTTCTCTTGCTGCTTTCAAGTTTTTGTCCTTATATTTGGGTTTCAAGATTTTTAGTATAAGGTGTCTATTTATGGATCTCTGCATTTATCCTACTTGGAGTTTATTGAGCTTCATGAATGTGTAGGTTCATGTTTTTCCATACTTTTTCAGCCATTTTTTCTTTGAATGTTTTTTCCTACTCTTTCATCACTTCTCTACTCTCCCATCCTCTCCCCACCCCTCCCTTCCCATATTTATGTTGGTATCCCACATTTCTGTGATACTGTTCATTTTTCTTTATTTCTTTTCTTGTTTATTTGGGTTGCATGATCTCCGTTGTATATTCAACATCCCTATTTCTTTTCTCGAATACCTCTAGTGAATTTTCATTTCAGATGTACTTCGCATCGCTAGAGTTTCCCATTGGTTCTTTTAAAAATTATTTCTAACTCTTTATTGATATTCTCTACTTGATGTGACATTGTCTTTATATCTTGCTTTTGTTTCTTTAATCATGATGTCCTTTAGGTCTTTGAACATATTTTCAGTGGCTCCTTTGACGTCTTGTTAAATCTGGTTGCTGTCACAGGCGGTTTCTCTTCCCGGCTTTTTTTCCCGGGTGCAGGTCATAGAGTGTGGGTCATACTTTTTGTTTTTTATTTTTGTTTACATAACTCAATTTTGTGTTAAATCAATTTTTTGTTTACAGAAATCTTTTTGTTAGAAACTGGACAGTTTAGATACTATATCGTAGCAGCCGTTAGTACTTGCCCCCTGTGCTTCCCCACTCCAGCTTGTTATTGTTGTTCCCTTGTTTAGTGACTGGCTGGATTATTTTAGAGACACCCCTCCCACCTCCAGTAGGAAGCTGTCACTCCCCAGTGGATGCAGACTCAGGTGTTCTGATAATGACTCTGGGATGACTGTGGTTTTGGCTGAGCTATTTTTGACAGTCCTCAATTGCCAGCTGATTGCTCTATTATTTTCAACAATGCCTTGGAGCATCTGTTCCTCCCACAGACTGATCCGATCAGATTCCTTTAAGTGCTAGATCACTAGGTCTGTGTTTGAGAATTTATTCTGATCTTGGAAGTTGCCTCCTAGCTGTCTCTTTTCTGGCTTCTCTCTGTCAACCTAAGCAAGCCTATAGTTTAGTCCATTTCTCCAATTGCCTTTTGCAATAATCTCCACTGTTTTTTAAGAGCCCCCTGAGGCTCAAAGTTCTTCACACTTTGTTGCAAATGAAGTCAGTCAACAGTGTGGGGGAGATTTGGAGCCCTCTGTTTTATCCTGTGCTCTCCCTCTGGCCAAAATCTGTGTCACAGGTCTTGAATTGAGGGTTGAGACAGTGGCATGTTTTCTGAGTGGCATCCCTGCTATAGGAGCTGGGCATGTGGGCATGTGGGGGCGGGCAGCAGTAATCTCAGATTTTCTTGGCTTGCCTCTCCTGGCTTGGGACCTCTGATTTATGGACTGCAAATGAGCTGGGTTAATAGTGATCTGGACCCCCAGTATTTTCTTCGTGCCCTATCCAAGGTAAACCCTGTCTCAGGAGTTGGGATTTAGTGGGGGAAGGGAGTTCTGTACCTGTTATCCACACTCACCTTAGCCTCAGCCACAGGTAGCTGGGAGTAGAATGAGAAATGCTGACGACCTGCCCCGCTTGGGGACATAGTTCTCTCACTAGAAGGTGGGAGGAGGGGGAACCCTGTCCTTGGCTCCACTAGTCTGCAGTTTCTGTGTCAAGGGAGGAGTGGGAGAGAGGGAGCGTCTTGGTTCACATATCACATTCTCTCACTTTTCATACCAAGTTCTATTCCATTTTCATGAATAAGTGTTTCTTTATTTGCTGTATGCTCTTAGGGCCATTTCCAGAGACTATAGATGGTGTTTGTTTTTTATAATTTTCACCAGTTTCATTGGGGTGTCGGTCCATGGAGCGTGTCACACTGTCTTGCTGGAATTGAAGCTCTGAAGCTTACGTTTAAATGGGGAATATCATCTTTTGGTATTTTAGAGAAGAATCTTCAAATGTCTTGTAAAGCTGAGAGACTTTTTTCCTAAGGGAAGAGCCTATGAAGAAATGAACATGAGGTCCATGACAGAACATAAACACTCTGATATTAATGTTTTTCATAGCATTTTTGAGTTTAGTACATAACCTGGGTTTTTTTTTAATTGATTTTTTTTTTACTATTTAACTACAGTTAAGGCATCATAATTTTAAAAACCCATTCAGAAAAGCACAATTTCTCTTTTATTTTCCATAATGGTAAGCTTGGTGTTTGGGATTGTAATTAATGTTTGGTTTTTGTTTCTGTTAGAGGCAGTAATGAACCAGGAAAAAAGAAACAGCATATCTGTCATATTGAAGGATGTGGAAAAGTTTATGGCAAAACATCTCACCTACGAGCACATCTTCGCTGGCATACTGGAGAAAGACCTTTTGTGTGCAACTGGATGTTTTGTGGCAAAAGATTCACAAGGAGTGATGAGCTTCAGAGACATAGAAGAACCCATACAGGTTAGTTGGTTTATTAGGACTTGTAAATACAGCACTTAAATGCTTGTTTTTACAGCACTTAAATGAAAATTTTAGTGACAGATAGCTATCAAATTGGAAATACAGAAATTAAAAAGAGAATTCACTGTGGTGATTATATGGAAGATGTTAAGATCAAAATTCTTTATCTCATTTCTGAGACATATTTCCTAGTTTTTATAAGCTTTATCAATGTAAGGAGACTCTACTCCCACCCCTATTCTGCTGTCCAAAGAAAACCATATTTAATCTTTTAACTATTTTTATATTTTTATTCTTCCTGTGATGGCCGCCATATATTTAAATAATACACTGTTACTTGTTAATCTTTCAGTTTTAGACAGTATCTGTTGACTTCTTACACTGAGAGTTAAGAATTTACCTCACTTTGAACCATCTGATGACATTCAGTTATTTTTAACTGTGTGCAGGCCTGGCGTTGTCTCTTGACTCACTGCTCTCCGATTTGTTATTACCATGTCTGTTCTTCATTTCTCATCCCTTTCACCTCCTAACTTCTCTCACCTAAACTTTTACTGTCTTCTCTTTCTCTTAATGTTAAAATGTTTACATTCTTTTCAGTAAGCACTTTCTCCTTTTTTAAAATAGCTTATTTGTTTTTAAGGTTTAAAATTAGTAAACAGTAATTACATCATGACTGTAATGTACTGTGGTTACATATTCTTTCCTGTGTGTTTTTTGTTTTTTCGTAGTTTTTAATTGCCTTTTCCCCACTTGCATTGTTATTTCAACTTTTTTATTATTTCAGCTTTTCAAGAATAGTATCAACTCCATCTACGTTCTCCATATTCTTGGAGGTCTCCAGCTTTCTGATCAAACACAGACTGGTTCCTCTCTAGGACTCGAGACTTTTTTTCCCTGCTTTATTGGTTTATACCCAGTGTTATCAAGATCTCATATCTTCGTTTTTCTCAGTTTGCTCCCTTAGTTGCTGGAAAACATTCTGAATTGCCTTCTATAAAAATGCATGCATGGGGAAGTAAGTTTGTCTGAAGTGTTATTGTTTTGCTTATCCACTTAATTGATAGTTCGGCCAACACAGAATTCTAGGTTGAATGTTGTATCAAAACATTAACGGCACTGCTCTGTTGTCTTCTTTCGTGGTATACTAATACGAAGTCTATTGTTGTTGTTCTCTTGTTTTTTGTAGGTGACCTAATTTTTCCCTTAAACTTTTAAGAGCTTGTTTGTTTATAACTTTTTGTTTTGATATAATTTTGTACATTTGGAAGAGTTGCAAAGATAGTATAGAGAGTTCTCATATCCTAAACCAAGCTTCCTCCAAAATTAACCTCTCTCGTAACCACAGTAACTTATAAAAACTAAAAAATTAACATTGGTACAATACTATTAATTAAACTAAAAACTTTCCCACAAATACACTTTTTCTGTTCCAAGCAGACATTCAATCCAGAATACCACGTTACATTTATCTTTTATGGCTCTTTAGTCTTCTGCAGTCTGTGAAATTTTTTTCTGCTTTCCTTGGCTTTTCTTGACCTTGACATTTTTGAAGGTTAGGTATTTTGGAGAATATCCCTCAATTTGGGTTTGTCTGATATTTTCTTATGATTAGATTGAGGTTATGAATTGCTGTTAGGAAAAATATCATAGACATTATTGCCCTTCTCAGCACATTATGTCAGGGAGTACAGGACGTCAGTATGTCTTATTGGCGATATTAACCTTGATGAATTGGTTAAGTTAGTATGTGCCAGGTATCTCCACTGTGAAGTTATTTTATTCTTTCTAAAAAAATAACTTCATTATAAGCAAGTAAGTAAGTCCAGTCCACACTCAAGGGGAGGGGAAATTAAGCTCTACTTCCTGTAAAGAGAATTATCAAAGAATTTGTGGCTTTTCATGAAAACCACAGTAATTAGTAAATATTTTTGAGGCAATTCATCGAGTCTACACAAATATCCTGTTTCTCTTTAAAGAAAATACTAACATTTTACTTTTAGCATTCCTCGTTGTACTGTGCCTACAGCCGTTATTGCTATGGTGTTCTAAAAGTCATTTTACTTGTACAGTTTTCACTTGTACTTCTTGTGTAAGGAAGATTTATACCTTCTTCCCCAATTACTTGTTTATTCAGTCATTTATTTATATCATTATGGACTCAAGTATTTTATTTTGAGGGTTATAATCCATTACTGTCATTATTTATTTTTCTTGCTCAAATGTTTCATCTTTGGCCAATGTAAGTAGTTTTAGATGGTCCTTCTATCCTTTTGACATGCCCTCATCTAATTTGAACTGTAAGAGTTTCTTTTAATCTTTATTGTTCTCTTAATTTTGTAATTATGTATGTAGTCATAAATTTTCATTTATTGTACAAACTGTTTGGACTCATCAACTCTCGGTTCTCCTTCATCCACATTTTAATTGGAGAGTTTAATACATTTACATTTAATACAGTTACTGGTAAGGACTTCTGCCATTCTGTTATTTGTTTCCTGTGTGTCTTCTTTTTTGTTCCTATGTTCCTCCATTATTGACATTTTGAGTTAAATAAATTTTCCTCATGTGTTATTTTAATTCTTGTTATTTTTAATCATATATAATATATTTTAGTTATTTTCTTAGTGGTTGCCTACCTTGGGGATGATAATTACATTGTATAATGATCTAGTTTGGATTAATACTTACTTTATATCCATAGTGTACAAAAACTTTTCTCCCATATAGCTCTGTCTCCCCATCTGCTGTTACTTTAACCAATTACATTTTCATACATTATGTACCTATCAACACAGCTTTATAATTATTGCTTTATGCAGTTGTGTTTTAAACCAGATAGGAGAAAAAAAGGAGTCACAAATCAAAAATGCATTTATACTGCCTTTTACATTTAACTATAATTACCTTACCTGTTCTTTATTTTTTCATGTGGATTTAAGTTACCATCTAGTGCCTTTTTCACTTCAGCCTGAAGAACTTCCTTTCGTATTTCTTGTGGGTGCAAATCTCCTGGTGGCAAATATTTCAGTTCTTATTAATCTAGGAATGTCTTAATTTTTCCTTACTTTTGAAAGATAGTTTTTCTGTATAGAGAATTCTTGGTTGACAATTTATTTTTTCTTTATCTTTGACTATATCATCCAATTGCTTTCCAGCCTCCATGATCTCCAATGAAAAAAATATTTTTATTAACAATCCCTTGTAGGTAATGAGTCATTTTTCTCTTGCTGCTTTCTAGATTCTCTCTTTGTTTTTTGTTTTTTGGGTTTTTTTTACTTTAAACATTTTATTATTATGTGTCTCATTGCCAATCTCTTTGCATTTAACCTTGCTTTGAGTTTATTGGATTACCTCCAAGTCTGGTTAAATACAACAATCTTATATTTGGAGTTTTCCAAAGAACCACTGGATGGATCAGAGAATGAGAATTTTGGGGGAATGAGGTTTTGAAAGAGCTCCAGCTCTGTTCTGCTTCCTCTGGTGGCTTCTAGGCTACTGGGGAATAGAAAATGGAAATAGGCCAATTAAAACACAAAGCTTTCTGTTCTTATCAAGATTTCAGCCATTTTTCTTTAGTAAACACTCTCTGAATTACTGCAAGCCTTGATTAATTTCTAGATTCTAAGAGGCTTGATTTTGATTGTTTTGGTTTGATTTTCTAATTCTTTTCATAGAGGAGTGAATTTTTGGAGGTCACCATCTTTACTGACATTACCTCTTAATAATTTCCTCCTTCTCCCTTTATTTCTGAAGAATTACAAGGATTGGAAAGAGTTGATAAGTTCTGTTTGTGGCATGTTGAGTGATGCTGCCTGTGGCACATCTAGGAGATGTCAGGTTCACAGTTGAGTTAAGGAATCTGGATCTTGATGTAGTCATCTATTTATAGATAATAGTTAATATTATTAGTGTACATAAGTTTTTTTTTAAAGGCATTTATGATGAAATGACCAAAGGGCTTCTGTATTTGACTAGATAATTGCTGAAGGAGAAAATGAAAAATTACACATTATGCAAATTGATGTCCCTGTAAATCCATGGACTCAGATGTCAGCCAGTCTCTCAGAGTAGCCTATCAATCTTATCCTTTTTTGTCAAATTCCTTAGTACTTTAATAATTACCTAAACCACCTTAAGTGTTCTTATGTCCCTTGTATTTCTCACTCAGTCTCCCCTTACTCCCAGTCGTTTACTTCAAGAAAATTAAATCCACATGACTTCTCTCAAATTGTCATCATGCCCCCTTTTAATTTACTTTTATCCACAGGTAATAATAAAGGAGAATTGAGGGTACTCATGAAAAGATTTGTTTAGATATTCTAGGCTGGGTAAGAGTATCCAGTAAGGCCTGATGGGTTGAGGGCACTGGAGGGGGAGGGTCAGAGGGATCCAGAGACTGCAGGTTTCTCAGTTTGAATTACTAGGTTTCTTAGAACAAATCAAAAAAAATATTTTTGTAATGTGAGTTATATATAAAAGTCTGGTTATTTTTTCTAAGAAATTGTATATAGCTGCATATGGACATTTGATGTAAGTTACTCATTGAAAAAGGGTGTATTTATAATTGGCTATAACAAATTGAAGATATTTAAATAAATATTTCCACATAGTGGGTTAAATTGTGTCTCACAGAAAGATATGTTCAAGTCCTAATCTCTGGTATCTCTGAATGCAAACTTATTCAGAAATAGATTCTTTGCGAATTGAGCAAATTAAGATGAGGTGATACTGTGCCTGGTGCCTAGGTTTTAGGACCTAGTAGACTTTCACTCCAATGACTGACGACCATCTAAAAAGGGGAGAAGACACAGAGACACTGGAGAAGAGGCCACGTGAAGACAGGCAGAAATTGGAGAGATATGCAGCTTCAAGCCAGCGAGTGCCAAGGATTTGCCAGAAGTCACCAGAAGCTAGGATGAGGCAAGGCAGGATTCTTCTCTAGAGCCTCTGGTGGAAACATTGCCCTACTGACACCTTAGTTTTGGATATCTAGCCTCCAGAACTTTGAGAGAATAAATATCTGTCGTTTTAAGCTACCCGGTTTGTGGTATTTTCTTATGGAAGCCATAGGAAACTAATATAGCCCCTTAGTTTGCTCCTGAAATTAATTAATTTGTATATAGGGAGATGTGTTATTAAATGAAAAATTCAGAAATAACAATAATTCATAAAATGTTTTGTACATTGTAATAGCTTAGGTTTGAGGGTAACATTTCAAACATCAGGTTACAGTCAGCACTGTAACAGCTATGATCGGTTCCTGATGGTTACTTCCGATGAATAAAGCTTAAAAGATCTGTTTTATTCCATTCATCCCTCAAATCTATGATTCCACTTGAAAATTGTAGCAGATTTTTTTCTGAGAGAAATTACTGTTAGGAATATCATATTAGGCAAAAGAAGCAATTTTTTCTTCTATCAGTTTATTAAACCAGAATCATTTGGGTTGTTTTTGAGAATTTTTTTTAGAGAAATAAAATATGAAATTTGTCCTTGACATGCTTTGGATACTTGTAATGAAGACATTTTACAGATCTTGAACTATATAATGTATCAGCTATAATTTATTTTATTATTAGGCTTTATTTCTTTCAAGGTTTTATCTTCTATAACTATTAGTTTTCTGTCACTGCCGTAACAAACTACCACAAATTTAGCACCTTAAAAACACACACATTTATTATATAACAGTTTCGTTAAGTCAAAAGTTTGAGTAAGCTTGGTCTAGGTCCATTTACCCTCTTAAAAAGTCGAAATCAAGGTGTCAGCTGGGCTGTGTTCCTTACCGAAGGCTCTGGGGAAGAATTTGCTTCCAAAATCACTCAGGCTATCAACCAAATTCAGTTTTTGCTGTTGTAGGATAAGGGTCCCTGTTTCATTGCTGGCTGTCAGCTAGGGGCTGGTGTTTTTGCTCTGGAAGTTGCTAACATTCCTTCTCATACTTCTTCTGTGGCCCCCTCCAGCAGTGTAGGTCAAGTCCCTCTCAGACTTCTGATTTATCCGATTTCTGATTTCTCCTGCTGCATCCCTCCAACTCCAGCTGAAGAAAGCTCTCTGCTTTTAAGAGCTCATATGATTAGATCAGGCCCACTCAGATGTTTCAGAATAATCTTATATTAAGCTCTATAACTTTAGTTAGTATTTCTTTTTTCATGTAATAAAACATATTCATTAGTTCCAGGGATTAGGGCATGGACATTTGGGGGGGAGGGGGACAATTCTGCTGATCATAAGTAAACTCATATCAAGTTTTAATAATTAATTACATTAATTATGAAAAGTATTAGCCTACTAAGAATAATTGTGAAATAATTAAAATAATAAAAACATTGTAGTACATATAATTAGTACAAGAACTCTGTACCTCCTTGAGATAAAGTATAATGATAATGTTTGCTAAGAGTAGGAGATTTAGAAATTGATACCACAGAAAATATAGTTCTGTATGGAAGGATAGTTTAATTGTACAACATAATTTACTTATTTAGAGGTTCTAGCCACTTTCATTGCTTGAAGTTAATTGGACACCCACACCATTTAGGAGTAGACAGACTACAAAGTCCGTACACAAATCATTTCCCATTTATCTTACGGTTTGCCGTGGAGTAGCTGAGGACTTAGATTTCTTTCTTAATTGAAACTTAACCATAGCTCTATGTGGTTGCAAATGACTATCCCAAGAAAATGGAAGTTGCTTTAAAGTAAGAAATTCTCACTTATTTATTTCATTTTTGTATCACCAGTGTATCATCAAGTGTTCCACAAATGTTTGTTGAAAAATGACTAAGTTCCTGAACATTACAGCTTACAAATATTTATCGAACAGCCAGTGTGTAGGTTGATCACCCAGTTGATTCAGTGCTTATTGAATGATTGCATGCCATCAGGCCATCACCACCTGATTTCTTTTTGATTTTTCTTGGCCGTTGTTGCTATGGAGCAAATTAACTTCCGAGCCAACGCTCACTCATCAATAAAATGAAAATGTAAAATTAGATCTTTAAGATTTCTTCCAGCTTTAACATTTTTCAACAGAATTTTTCTTTTGAAAGCAAATGGGGAACTTGCAAGGTGTAAAGTTCAAAATTGATCCTAAACTTAAACCCTTGTTTAATTGCTTTCCATCCTTATCTAGGTGTTAGCATTCATAAAATGCAAGTCGTTTTACTTTAAAGCTTAACTGCCTTTATTTTTAATGTCTTTGAGAATTTTGTATAAACCATTTATTTATCCTTTTATTCAATTTTTCAAGACTGAAAGAGAAAGAAAAGTTCAATGAGATACTGCAAATGCAATTTTTTAAAAAATAAAAGCAAACACATAAAGAAGAGGGGAAATTATCTGACATGGACAAACTTGAACCTATAGATTTTCTCTTGGTAAGTCAAAAGCAGGGCCAAGCTAAGAAGTCAGCTGAACTGAACTTCCTTGTTATCCAAGTTCTACTGTCAGACTGAGAAAACATTTCATTCCCTTAAGTAACAGTTTTAGAAGGAAGGACCAAAGATAGTAGGTCTATTGTGAATATCACAATATACGAATTAACCAGATTTTTCATGCCCGATCTATTATACACAAAATTGAAATGTTTTTCTTCCCTTATTATTTAACATTTCATTTTTATTCCAGAATATGGAAGTGGTTAGTTCTAGAAGACCTATCTTATATCTTAAACAGAGCATATTTAAGGATCACGTTGTATACCAGAACCTGACAGTCTTATTCTGGGAAACTTAAAAACTCTATTAGTTGAAATGTAGTATTTGTCTGACTCTCATTTTTGCCTTGTGAGGAAACTGAAAACACTATTAAATTATTAACTGATTTTATTTGAAATCGTTCTAAGATATGTTCATGCCTTTAGGCATTATAACCAAAACCCAGGTAGTAGTTTTAAAGGAAGAGTAGATGTGAGCCTTGAACATTATATATTTTTATACCTAGAAGTGATTCTCCAGATCACGTTTGAAACCCTCTTGTTTCATAGATGAGAAACTGAGGCCCAGAGTGGTTATTTCACTTGCTCCGTTTTATTTCCAGTTCTTGATAAAACCAGGACTTAACTCAGGTCTTTTATTCTCAGTCACATGCTCTTTCTCCTCTAACTACACTACTTGTTTGATAGCATTTTAAAATAAAAACAAAGTAGTTTGCAGCTAGTCAAAAGTTAAATGAAAATGTAGTATGACCAGAAGAGAAATTACTTAAAATTAAGATTTTATTTAAACACAGTGAATTACTATTTATTTGCTATTTTTCTGTTTAGGTGAAAAGAGATTTGAATGCCCAGAATGTTCTAAAAGATTTATGCGGAGTGATCATCTCTCCAAACATGTCAAAACGCACCAGAATAAGAAAGGTGGTGGGACAGCTCTTGCCATTGTTACCTCGGGAGAACTGGACTCGTCGGTTACAGAGGTGCTTGGCTCCCCAAGAATTGTCACAGTTGCAGCCATTTCTCAAGATTCAAATCCAGCAACTCCCAATGTTTCAGCCAACATGGAAGAATTCTGAAAAGTTATTCATAACAGAGACCTCTAGTGCTGCACTTAAGTTTACACATCTTTGAAAATCTGGAAATGGGCTGGTCAAGTGGATTACAGAGTAGGAAATCACATTTTCATTTTTGGCTTCTTTAAGTATTCCAAAATTTTCAGTCAACATGTGAAGTGTTGGATTTTTAAAAACACAAAAAGCAAACTGATGTACTGGAAACAGATAGAAAAGTATTTCCTCCATACTGTAAGTTGTAGTTATTTGAAAATGTCTCACATAATGTTTAAAATGAATCTTCCCCTCTCTTAACATCATGTGTTAATGTGTTTAGAAAGACAGACCTCAAGTAGTTTACAGGCTGGACCTTAATTGGACTTGTTTTCTTTGAAATTCAATCAGTAATAATGTACATGATTTTTTTTTTCCTACAGCACAGAAAACAAGATAGCTAATTGATGATAGGGACAATACTTTATTTTCTTAGCTTGATTTTTGGAAAGCCAACTAAAAATGGTTTTGGCCGTCTTTTCTAAATGTTAGGAATTCTTCAACAGTTGAATTAGTTAAGTCCCAAAACAGTAATCTGAGATGCCTCTCAGATCATTATGACCACTACATTATAGTAGTGTGTATGCAGACAATCAGTGAAGTTTAATTACTTTCTCCATTTGGAGACACAAGAGGAACTTAGAGCTAAACCTTAGGTTAAATTTTAGATTAAAACCTTAGGAAAATACTGGGGTGGGGGGGAAATGGTTAAAACAAAACTCTTAAAAGCTTCAGAAAAATAAAATGAGGCAACTTAACATGTAAGGTTTTGAAGTTAGGATTGATTATATTCTTAATCCTAGGTCGTACCACAAAATTCATTTTAAATGTTTATATTGGAAATATTTGCATAGAGTATAAATTGTTCTGTAGTTTCATATTCTGTAAATATGAGTTATGTTGACAATGTGCAGAATTCTTTATGCTTTGACTTGGTAGCCAAAGAAAGAATTATCACACTTTTTTTTAAGGCCAGCAGAAAATTATGTTTTAACTACATTATAATTTTCGTTTTCCTCTCTACTAAAGATTAGCTAATCCCATTTTATTTCTAGTACTGTTAGAAGGCTGATTAAGAATTCATAGCACAGTAATGTCTCTGTGTTATGTCAATAACTGAATTTTCCCTAAAAAGACAGCCTAACAAATATATAACAGACGTGATATTATGAAGCAAAAATTATTTTTTAAAAATCAGAATGATTTTTAGTCAAGTGACTAAAGAAAAAATGTATTTCATTGTTTATGCAAGGGTCTTATAGGAAAGATGGCCAAAAGTTTCGTATGAAAAAAGTTTGGATTATATCAGTAGCTTAACTATTAGTAAGATATTTCCTATTTTAAAAATGTATTTACACAGAATCATAATGGAATTGGAGTCAACCGTTTGAAAACTAAAGTTTTTAACTGCTTGGTTTATTAACATCATTAGATTGGGGACTGTTTGAATATCAGTAATGTTTTCTTGTGTGTTCTCTATTATTTCAGGAAAAGTACTACTCATGTGAATTCTCTTCCAAAATTGTGATGTTTCTTGTATTTTTGATGAAGGAGAAATACTGTAATGATCACTGTTTACACTATGTACACTTTAGGCCAGCCCTTTGTAGCGTTATATAAAACTGAAGGTCTTTTGTGCTTTCAGTTTGTATAAAAAAGCTTTGAGATTAAAGGAAAAAAAATTTTTACACTGTGGTTATAAATTTCAAGTTTCTTAAAGCTTTTGTAGACTTGTAACAAAGTCTTTAAATTTTAGTTGGATTTTGTAAATTGTTTTGTATATTTTATTTAATGTACTCTTAACAACTGATGTATCTGGCTTTAAGACATCAGACTCAGTTTGTTGTTTTGTTTGGTACAGAGGAGCATTTGGTAGTGTTAATTTTAATTTTATTATATAGGAGCTGAAACATCAAATATATATTTTATCTATCATTATGCTACACAATCAGTGCTATAAATTTTTTTATGCAAAGAAACTTTCCTAATGTTTGAATCATGTTTTCTCAGAGTGACACTTTCTGTTGTTGATAATACCAAGTATGAGCTCTCTGCACCATTATTCCATGAACCAGTTTTAATGCATACCTATGTATGCTCTTCACCAACGGAAGTTACTTTTTAATCAACAATGAGGCCTATTATAAATTTAACAAACTGAATCTGGATAGCTTTAGAGCATATAAAATATAGTAATTTGTGTTAGCAGGTGCACATTTTACCACTGAAATTAGAAATATTTTGACAGTCAGTTCTGCATACCATTCTGAATCCACTCTCCTGTCTTATATGAATCGTAAATTTCAATGTCCTTTATTTGACTCAGTGGGATATAGCTGTTATAAGTAATAGGGCACAGATGTGCAGTAGTCTTGTTTAATGGCATTTCACTGTTCATTCTCTCTGCCACTGTTATAAAACTTTTCTTTATTGTAATTATCAGTGCAAAGCTATGTATTTATCATGGTAGAACTCCAGTGTTAGAATAGTTTTTTCTTACAGTATTCTTTTTTTGGTTAGGTTTGTGTATGTGTTGCTGATTACATTAGAACTTGATGTTAAGTCATTATTTATCACACTCTCATGAGAGCAGTAATAAAAGTGTGTAATCTAGGAGAAAAAGTTAATTTGTCAAACTTAGATAAGCATGATGTTTAGGTCCTATTTTTCAATTTTATAACTGTTTTATTGCAACAATATTTGTATTTAAGTCTTCATTTTAATGCCTTGTGGTGTTTTTTTATGCATGTCACTAGGTTGTCATCCCACATAAATTGATGTGCAGCATAGGGTATTAAATCTACATAATGATTTTAAAACAGAAATAGTTGATGGTAAAATGTAAATGTTTTGCAAAAATTCCTTATAAAAAGTTTTGTAGTAACATTTCACTTGTAAATTTTTTGTAAGAAAAAAAAGAAAAAGAAAAAGGAAAAAAAAGATGAATTCAGAAAAATTCCTGTTTCCCATATCCTAGAATTTAGACAATTATTCTGCCAGCAAAGCCTCCGGGGGCTATAATTGACATTTTTACAGTGCTGATTTGTATAAAATTTGTTTTTTGTGGATTTGGAAATAAAATCATGTACAAGTTGTTGCCTGCAATAACAATTGCAAGTAACCTATAAAAATTCCCTTGAGTTTAACATGTTTCTTCATTTAATTATGTATACTGTAAAGCAGCAATAAATTGTTTGAACTATCAACCTTATCACAATGAACACTGGAAAGTAAATGCTTCTCACTAGAAAACGTGGGCAACTCTTCATAATTCCTGGTATTAAGATCTGGTCACTATTTCTCCGAACAGACTGCCAAGGAAGACCAATTCAAACTTCCTATTAATTTGTAACCATTGCTCTGGACATTTATGGATATTAAAACTTGATTTAGGGTCATTTTTTACTTAAATATTTTTATAAATACTTAAATATTTTACTTAAATATTAAATATGCCACATAGATGCCACAGAAGTCTGTAAGCAAAAGCTGTTGTGTTTTCCTCCTGGGAGAGCCCTGCAAATCTTATGAAGAACCTTATTGATGAATACACCATTGTAACAACTTCAGTTAAATTAGATTTTCAAGCCCAGGCCAGATTATATACGGCGAGATGAGGGCTGGGGGATGTGAGGCAGCAGGGGAAGTACACTGGCCCACTCGCTGATGGAAGCTTCCAAAGAGTCTGTTTAAATGTATAGTAATTAAGGGCTATAAAGTATAGTATGTGGGTAGATCGTACAGCAAAGCCCTAAGGTAAAGTTACAACTTAGTGTCGTATATATTCATAGATGACTGTGAATCAAAAAAAAAAAAGTTAAATGTATGCTACTCTGCTAAACAAGACCAGTAAGGAGTAAATTTTTCAAAAGATACATGTGTGAAAACTTAAGATGTATATTTCAGTTACTTGAAAAATTCACATTTAGAAGCATTAGGATGATATTGTATAAAAGGAGGGGATGATGCAATTAGAAAATTAACATTTTGTTGTTATTTTAATATAGTAATACCAGTTTGATTCTTGGACTTCTAGGGACCGAATAACCATGAACACGACAATCACAGAGAACGCCATAAAAGTAGATTGTCATAGATTGTCGACATAAAACTATTAGTGCAAAAGAACCATTGGCGTAGGAAAGTGGAAGTAGTGCTCAGAGCAACGCTGACACAAAGTGGTTTACTTCGAGAAGTCAGGAAAAAACAGTCGCTTGTTATTTTTATTTTAAAGTTCAGATGCTTAAAGGGGTGGAGAGACTTCAGATATATGCGAGAAATGCGAAATAACTTTATTCGATACATCTGAATCGTATGACTATTTACTGCCCGAGCAGTAATGTATGTTTAATATACACACAACCAACTTAATTGTGTAGGAGGATTTTTTAAGGCATGTATTTCTTTTAAGATTTGCTTATTAGCATAGGTATTAGGCTGTGTCCCTCCTAGTAGCAGGTGGCAATGAAATAATTTAATTTGAAATACCTGAGAGTAATCTCAAGTGCAAGAGAGGGAAAGAAGGAAGGAAGAAGGGAGATCTTATAAACCTTTATTTTTGTCTAAGGTATAGTTTGGCAAATGCTAGGATAATTTCTCCTGAAAGAAAAAGTGTTCCAAATTAATAGGGATACTAGGTTTCAGAATTTTAATAAATACCCCAAATTTTCATGTATAAGAGGAAAATATCAACATGCGATTTGTAATACCTTGGCCCAGAAAAGCAATTTATGTATGCGTGTACATATATAGCAACTCTACAATAAGGATTTGAATTAGCAATACATATATTGTATTAGACTACTGTCATAAAATTTATTCTCTTTAAAACAGTAAAGGTATTTTCAAGATAAAGTATCACTATTCTCATAGTGAAGTACAGATACTCCAGCTTTAAGTACATTGTACATTCTCTAGTGAAGTCCACCAGGAAAATTGGGCGACAGTCAAGCAAAACTTTCACATGAGCTTATATTTAAAGTGTTCCATAGAAACATAATATTTTATAATAAATTTTTTCAAGGAAATAATAGCTATGTTTCCCTCCAATTATTCCTTTGCATAACTGCGGCACTTTAAATTTTTTGTTCAATCGAAAGTAACGGTTTTTTGTTTTCTATATTTAATAAAATTACATTTATATAAATAATATATAGGCTATGTGTAACATTTTAGATATATATCATAACGTTTGAGTTGGATAAGAAAGTTCAAACCTCAAAACTGTTTTTAAAGCTGCTGAAAGAAAAACCACAAACTACAGATTGGCCTAAATGTACACACATGGCCTTTTATAAACTCTGTATAAAGATTTGCAATAATAGAAAAGTAAGGGCAAAGGAGTGCAAGTATGATAAAGGAGATGAAGTCATCATTCGGGTCGTCAGGGAAACCTTCCTGAAGTGATGTCAGAGCAAAATGAGGTGAGGAGTAAGCCTTGCAAATCGGTCTTCGAGGGGAAGCTGGGAGAAGAGGTATCCAGCAAAAGGGATGAGCCCCAGACTGGACCATGGCTGCAGCACAACAGTCTAGAGAAGCCAAAAAGGAGACAGCAGGAGAGAGAGGAGATGCTGGTACAACAACATCCTACAGGCCCCGTAATCCTTGCCATTGGAGTGTCAAGGCTGCTTTCGGTGCAGAGGGACAATCTTCCTGGGAATATCAAAGCCCTGTGACAGAGATCACCAACTGTGAGGGAAATGGGTGTGGTTTGGACTCATTAGCCACACAACTTTGGGCAAGTTAACCTTTCTGCACCCTGTTTTTCTCATTTGCAAAACGGGCATAATACTTTATAGTTCTGTTAAGTGGATCAAGTAAGGTAGCTAACAAGCCCCCTGACAATAATGTTCAATAGATAGAAGTTATTATTGTTAATTATCAGTTAACCCAAAAGGCAGGGAGGCATAGAATATTTCCTGGTTGGACCAATGCCGAGACGCTTCGACAATGGGCAACAATACATCGAAAAGTTAATTCTCCATATCATATAAAGGAAAAAGACAAGTGGGGTTTCTTCAACTACATTTTTCTCAAACTATCTGCCTATGAGCTAGTTTGGGTTTTCTCAAAATTATATGATAGTTGTCTTTTCCAAATACTAAGCAAAATTCAATTTTTAAATTTTAGTTATTTCTTAATTTTAAAATGTTAATTCTGACTACTACTTGCCTTCCTCAAAGTGGTAGCAGACAACCAAACAAGTGAACAAAGAAGCAAGTCATTTAGTGAAAAACAAACAGTTGTCCATGTGTTGTTCAATAACTTTTTTTGATATTTAAAATCATTCCCTATGTGCAGACATATGTTTATGAAATAAATGGACCTGGGCTTACAGGGCGGAAGTACTTAATTTTTCAGCTTTCTACCAAATTGCAGCCACAAAAAGAAAATGTCTAATTTGATGTCCAAATGTTTTCTTATCCTAGACAACCTCTCAGACTTGGTGTAGAAAAGAATAATAGGATGTTCTACATTTATGAGCTCTAAGCTACTCTTTGCTCAGTTTTTCAGCATCTTTGTAGAATAAGATAGGATAAACAAACTGTCCAAACTGGCTTAGTGCATTGCCAGGCTCCAAGGCACCTCTGGCTAGATTCTGCTCTCCACTTCCAGCCTTCTTGTCCAATTAACTACCTTACCTTCGCTTCGCCTTAGGAGAAGCTTTTTTTAACCAGTCAGTACATTTGTTGAGCACCTTTTTTGTGCCAGACTCAGGCACAAGAGATGTTCCTCTTTTCTGCGTGAATCCTGCCTCACTGCATCCCTAGCTGGGCTAGATTTCTAGAGAGTTTGGAGATGCCCTGGCCCCACTCCTGGAGCACCTGCATTAAGCATGCTTCTACAGGGAGGAGCTGGGGCTCAGATCTTGTTGGGCCAAGTTAAGATGAACAGGTTTCAAGTCAGAGTCAGAGAACCAAGAAATCAGTCCCTGAGAGCTACGATCAGACAAAAGTAAATTACAGGGAAGAGGAGGAAATTAAACGAGCAGTTGTTGCAAACACCCAATCTTTGAATGATGCCTTTCTAGATAGTTGGCTTGGCTCGAATTGTGTTATTTATTATGCTGCTATGAAATGTGGTTTAATATGTATTTTATTTATAGTAGTAGTATTTTTGAGATGTGGAAGCCAAAATAGTTATATTTTCTTCTGGTAAAATCATTCCTAGATTGTATAATTTTATGTTGGAATTAAAAACATCAGTAATTCATGGTGCCATGTAAAGGGCATCATGGTTGCCAAGTGTTTGGTCAACTTAACTGTTTTGAAAACTGCTGTGAGGAAAGTAATTTAAAGGCAAACAATAAGTTAACTGAAAAAAGATTCCAATTCGATTCATGAACATTGTAAATGGTTACAACTTTATGTCTTTAAAGCTTGCTTTATTTTTGCTTGTTCTTTGTCAAATTCATATATGTATATATGAAATGTGTGTGGTGAGTGGTGAAGCATCGTACGTATTTCTAATTACAGTTCCTAGGTCCAAATTAAGTTTGTAAGTTATTGTGGTTTTGTATTGTAGTTGCTTCTTCTCACTTTCTATAATTGTGTGGACAGATAGAAAACATTGTTAGAAAATTAAGCCCAATTCTAATGATAATACGTAATCTTATTTTAATTCTCATTTTTATGGAGTAAGTCATGAATAGAACAAGATTTGGATCCTTTGGAAAAAGGCTCCGTTTTTCATTTGTTTTCTTGTTCGTTTTGTTTTTCAGAATACTGGTGTTGCTAATGTGTATTAAAAGTCTGTGTACGTATGTCCACCAATGCTGTAAGTAGTTGGGAGCACTTTTATTCTTGTGTCCAGTTTACTGTAAATGTAGACTTGGACATGAAAAAAGGGAAATGAAAAAGAAGGGCAAACCTGCCTAAAAACTTTTATTAAATTGATTATTCTGCAGCTCTAAGATATATTGTTCTGTATTTTAAGGAAAAGTATTACCTTGTTTACAAAATGTTTCTAAAATACTAATTTTCTTTTAATTATCCTTATTTGAGTTTATGACCTTGTCAAATTCTCTGAAAAATTGCTTTGAGAAAAAAGGTGATAATCACCAGAGAAGACATTCAGATAAAATATTTGTTTTCAGTTTTGTTTTAATAGAAACATAGATCAGATTTATGATTTAAGTATTTATGTCTCTAAGAAAAATATATGATGTCTTTTAACTTGCTATTGTTCAGAACACTCGCAAAAGAATTATGGTCTTTAAAAA